CATATTCGCTCGCGCGAAACGCAATTTGTCAAGGGCAGTCGGAGCGCTCGGGAAATAATGCGATCGCGAGACGTAGTTATTAACTCCTTTATCGCGGCTAATATCCAGTTAAAAGCAATTTTCGTAAAACGCGGGATTTTCGGAATAGTGACTTTTCTGGGTTAATCGTCGCCGTAACTGTAAGTTTCCATTATCAAGCTTCCATTTAGGTGAGCGCGCGGTTACGAAAAGGAGAGACTTACGGATACGCGCGTGCTAACACGTATTAATTCGCCGTATCGAAGAGAACGGGCGAACGCGCGCAATTAACTTTACTTGCGCGCTTCAACGGGGGAGGGGAGGGCGAGGAGCAATTTATGAACGTTAATTTATTTTGATATCGTAGTATGCGACGCGTACTCGTCGTGCGGCACAATGGTGCAGGGAAAATACGCGCACCGCCACGTCTGTTTACCTCATCGCGGCCGAAAACGAGCTGTTCGTCGGCAAATGGACGATATACCGTCAATATTTGCGTTCGCGCTGCCAGCGTGGCGAAATGTTAATGCTGATATCGCTGATACGATAATTCGCGATAAACGCATGGGCGACAAAGACCGTCGCTCAAACCGACTGTGATGAATGGCCAACGAGGCGAGAATGAATCGATTAACGGCGATAATGAATGTAGAGAGAGGACCCCGCCGACCGGTCGGCAAGATCGACGAAGACACGAAACGAGCTCATCGCCCCGTCGAATTATCCCGCTTTCTCGGGGGATTTATATCCCGCTCATATCCCGCGAAATCCTACCGACGAAAAGTCGATACAGCCCGGGCGACGATGGATCCCGGACACCTCCCGCGTTTCTCGCGCGGGGAATTTTCCTTCCCCTTTGTTATTTTTTTTTCTTCCTTTATCTCCGCGAGCGAAAGCCGGGGAAGTTTTTGAGAAAAGTTGCGAGAGATCGAAAGGTCCCGCGGGGGCGCTTCGCGAGGATCCCCGGCAAGGACGCCGAATCGCCCGGGGCGCGTAAGTGCAGCTTCTAGTAATTAAACAACATACACAACATACACAAGCCGTGGGGCGGGGGGGAGGGAGGAGGAAAATTTCACTCTCGGCCCTACGACACCGACACGAAGTAAATTTACCCGCGGCAAATAGATGCGCAGTGTAAACGGGAAGGGATTTTTCCACTGGAAAAATTGATCACGACCCTGTATAGCGCAATCATTGTATTCTTCCCTGAAATGCTGTACTTGTAACTGGTGGTTCAGTTATAAATGTAGCACTGCGATCACACAATGAAATCTTGCTGAAAAAGTCAGCCGACAATAGCGATTGTGTTCCTATTTTATTGCTACAGTTTGCAAGCACAGACATGTGCACACAAATCACACTGAAACCGTTAACTCTATCGCCATAAACGCAGAAATCCCACCGGATTTGACGCAACAAAGATGTGTAAAGAAAATCGGGGCTAGAGGCGCTATATTTTAGAATTTCGAGAAGTTTTATAACTTCTCAGGCAACTGAGAAGTTGTGACTGACTGTATAAAAATGATAGAGGCAACCTTCTTCTATATATTAATGCCCGCCATGGCTCTGTTAACTGTATATTTAGTTTTGTAATAATCAAAATACGAACATGCAGTAACAGAGCCATCTTCCCCCAGAGCTCAATTGCCTAGTAGCAGGGTAAAGAAGGCCACGTATAAAATACTACTGTGTCCAAAAAGTAAGACCAGTTTTTATTTATTTCAAAAAATATTTATTTATTCTTCCAAATCTATTTCGTCGCCTTCAAAATAATCCCCTCCCGACACAATACACTTATGCCAACGTATTTTCCAGTCCTCGAAACAAGAATTAAAGTCGCCTTCCGGGATGGCTTTCAGAGCGCGTAGCGATTCACGTTGTATCTCTTCTATCGTCTCAAAACGATTTCCCCGCAGTGGTCTTTTGAGTTTCGGGAATAGCCAGAAGTCACACGGTGCTAAATCAGGCGAATACGGTGGTTGTGGAACGATATGGATCGAATTTTTGGCGAAAAAGTCACGAAGAACGAGTGCAGTAATTGAGATGTTTTGGCACTAGTCGAGATTTTACACGTTTCAGGCCCAAAATATCTTTCAAAATGGTATTGGCAGATCCTTTCGAAATACCAACAGCATCAGCAAGGTCTCTAACAGTCATTCGACGATTAGCAAGCACAAGTTCTTCGATTTTCTTGACGTGTTGTTCATCGGTAGAGGTTGATGGTCGTCCGGAACGCTCTTCGTCTTCAACACTTTCACGACCTTCTTTGAACTGTTTATACCACTTGTAAACATTCCTTTCCGACAAAGCATGGTCCCCGAAGGCTTTCTGCAACATCCTGAACGTTTCTGCACCCGAAATTTCATTCCGCAAACAAAATTTAATGCAACTTCTTTGCTCAATATAATTAGACATTGTAAAAATCGCCGAATGCACTTTTAGCGTCGTACAAAACCAAGCGTAAAGCAAAAAGTAATGAATGTTTTGACATGAAATTTGTCACAGATGTCTGTCACAATGCTGCCAACTTAGAAAAAAAAATATTTATGATGTGCGGTTTACCCGCGCGATTTAAATTGAAAACTGGTCTTACTTTTTGGACACAGTAGTATGTATCCTGATCAGTAGTTCCAGAGTCTTCGCGAGAGGTCTCTACAGCTCTCTTGCCGGCCCTTAATTATGAACCAACTTTACTTCGTTCGCCTATATGCTTTATTTGTCAGTGAAGTATACTTTTTATCGATTCAATCAGAAATATTATTGCTGATTCACTTTCAGCGAGAGAGGACCCTAGTGTACGTCCAGCTGTCGAATAACGGTTTCATGCGTCGTTAAAGATTTAAACGACACTCTCGTATCTTATCTTTATCCCACGTCGGAATTAATATTTCATCGAGGCGTGCGTGTGAAAAGAACCCTCTCCGGGAAGAACCCTCTATGCGAAGAAGAGATCGACATGGAAAGAGAGAGACTGAGAGAAAGGGGGAGAGAGAGGGAGGAAGGGGAGGGAGAGAGAGAGAAATATGGTGGATTTGTTGCGCTCAGGCGTTTCTATTCCTCCGGCGCGCCACGTCGTTCGTCGAGATCTTCTTACTGAAGATCGCACACGGAAGCTCGAACTGCATGTTAATGAAATATTCGAAGACGAGCGGTGGCGGATTCTCTCACGGGGAGCTCCCCGAAAGCGGAAACGCAATCGCGAGTGAGCGCGTGTAAACACACGGAGAAACTATACGTGCGCACACAAAATACATTATAAAATATATTCAAGTAAATGTTACTCGTTTCATGTATCTCAAAAGTTTATACAACTGCAAATCTCTCATCATTTCTCATCATAAAACTTATTTAAAATACATCCCGCATCTCTCTCTCCTAATATCCATCCAGGATTAAATAAATTTGATGCTTATGATACGCGGATATATAAACTTATGAAATAATTGAAACAAGTAACAATTGTTTAAATGCGGTACATATTTCTCTATGTAGATGGGGAAAATTAGTCTTTCGATATTTATTCGCGAAAATAGGCGGCGGCGACTGCGAGACGGCGGGAATTCTCGCAAAGAGAGGATTCGTCTCTATGCGCGAACGATACGAGTCTCTTCTAAATATTAGAATAATACGGGACATGCTTGTGTAAACTTTGTAGTGTATAGGGAACGCGCCAGCTGTGAAATAATGTGCTGGAGACGAGAGAGTAGAAAGATAGAGAGAGGTCGTAAAACGTTCGTAAACTCTGTTATCTGCCACGGTGGGAAAATGTATAAAGTCGAGGCAGTTAATCACACTCATCTCTTGCCTTAATTCCGTGACTGGTAGCATCTGCCCGCAAAGGAGGGAGGTGCAGCCTCCAGTACATATGTAGTTAGCATTTCATTGTACATATTTATCGCGGACAGTAATGCTGCTGTCATGAAAAGATGACAAATAAAATTCTGCAAACACTCAACACCTTGAATTTTCGTGCTTTTTGTTTTCCACTCGCCGAGCACGCCGGAGCTCGAAGTCGGCCACGTTACACAACTTTCAGATCTGGAACGGAAGATGGAGATTTCGCTGGTTAAATTGAGGAACTCGGCGCGAACAACTGCGCACAGATATGTGAACGGACTATCTCTTCGCGTCGTAATCCCGAGTCATTCGAACGACTGTGTCTCGGTTTCCGACTCGAAGGATTAAGGAGAGCAGTCTAGCGAGTCTGGGAACTTAGCTTCCAGTCGACTCCGCCCGGCCCGAATCGGATACTCCGGTGTGCTGCGTCTGCACCCGCCGGAAACTGCGCCTGCCGTGCGATGACAACAAGCACCATTAAGATTGGAACGAGAGATCATTTTGTTAATTAGTCACTGTGCAACGAGGCGGTTTACCGATCCTCAACGAATCGACAATGCAGTCTCTCGACTAAATTCCGCCTTAAAATTTGACTCGCACAAAACGCGCGGTAATTACTAAAATGCAACCTGCCGAGACTTGATGTCACGAATATCCCCATCTTTTTCTCTTTCCCTCGAATTATCATTGAACTTCTAATTCACGAGCAATAAATCCGACGATTCCGTTGCTACTTGAACGAGTCGAGTAGTGAGAGCGATAGACGCTGATTCGACACGCGACAAACACCGGTTGAATGTACCGACAATGACACGAAATTACTTGCTAACAATGTACTTACGGTACGTCCAGACAATCACACATCGCTATTGTCGACACTCCCGAAATTTATTTACGCGCGAGGTTCACTGTTCGATAGACAAAAGATATGTAGAACGCGGAGCACGCGATTTTATAGTGTGAAGTTTAATGGGTGACTACGCGGGAAAAAAAGTTTGGTTGGACTAATCGACTTTTCGGTGAAATATGTGAGAGAATCTGTTGTATCTTAGCACGGGGAATATACAGTCGAAAGTTTGTCGATTCGTCGAACAACTGCCTTGTCGCACCGTGTGACTAATTAGGAAAATAATTCCTTGTTCCAGATCTAACGGCGCCAGATCCATCGCCGTGCAGCAGATGCAGTTCAGTGGGGCGCAGTTCCGGCGGATGCAGACGCAGCACCGGAGGATCCGGTTCGAGTCGAGCGGGGTCGGCTCGAAGGTAGGTACAATTTACGCTTTCCCCTTTTAGCTCTATCAGCCGAGGTGACGTAGCCGTCAAAATTACTTGAATTATGCGATTGCAAAGAGAGTTAGTGAGTTTCTTCGCGTACTTGTTCGTCAGACCGAGTTTCTAAGAGTTCAACTGACGAAAATTACATTCCTTTGTTTCAGGTCTGGCTGGCGGAACGTGGCTGGTCTTGAGTTTCGGGGTACATTCGGTGAGTGAGAGAAATGTGGATGACAAAAGGCTTCAGGTGTGACAGATATTTGCACAATTTTGCTGGATGCGGTTTAATTGTGGCGCGTATGTTGCAGTTAGTCGTGTAAATCAATAATCATTGGCCAGAAAATCGAACGGCTGTGTGTACTTTCGTAAATCAAGTTCTCGCACAAACCATCCGACAATCGAGACGCGTAATTCACGCCGGCAATTAGTCAGAATGGCAAATGATCTTCCCTAATGTACTCGGGTGAGAGTAGAATGAACTATTGTTTCGGTACAATTACCTCCCAGGCCTAATGTACATGGAGTAACCCGAAGCGTGCGGCAACGTAAACATGGCAATACTTAAACATATTTATAATAAAGTGGAGAAAAACAACATTCGAATTAACGTACATATTTTCGCGATTAATTGAAGACTAAAATTTTTTAGTCAATCTCACACATAACTGCGATTGACTGATTTATGAGAATATTTTTTATCTTTAATTGTCGGACATTTAAAAATCATTGGCAGTACCATGTTTCTCAAGAAACTTGTATAGTTCACAAGAACGGCAGAAAATTTATGTAAAATTCGAGAAATTTCGTGGCAGAATATTACCGCATATTAAATGTCTAACTTAAGAATCTCGCGAGAAGTTGAGTTTTCCTCGAGCAACGCTGAATCGTGAATCCTATTCGAAATACAATTTCGCCATCGTGTTTATGCAGTTTCGTGCGACATCCCGTACCTAGAGAACACGCAGATACAGTGGTGATTATTCGGCGCGCATATTTAAGGGCTGATACAATATCGCGAAACTCGCATCCCTTTACGAGGCGTCCCTCGTCGCGAAGCCGGGCGCAATAACATTTCCATATCCGCGACATTAGCACTAAAATATCGCAGTTATCATGAAAACACGAATTTACCTGTGTTTTACATTACGAAGACCATTAAACTCGCTAAGCCCGCCTCGCGATAAATTTGCGCGCCGTTTACGGATATATGCACAACTTCCCAAATTTGTGAATACATAATATTTGATCCGACGGGAAATAGCGGAACTTTCTGGGGGAATATTAAGTCCCTTGTCAACGCTCGTTTTTATGGTAAGACCGAGTACAATGTTGACCAGAGCGTTAGTAATATTAAAGTAAGAACAATAATATAATACAGAAATATTGGATTTTCGTGCACGTCTACATGGAGAGAATATTACAAATTTTTTCAAATAAATTTTTAATTTTACTATGTTTCTATGATGATGTGCAGAAGTAGACTATCAGTAAAGTCTATCTTGCTAAGGAACATAATAAATTTTGTGAGAAACATAGCACATTTTTTAATCATGTGAAAACCACGTGCTCAAAGAAGTTTCGTGTGATAAAATATTCAATTTTTTAAAATTTATTTAAACTGTTGTGTTTTTTAAACTCATAGCAGATATAAATTAAATATATGTTGTATTCTATATTTCTCAAGATTCTTCCGAAAGAATAGCAATAAAGAGGAAAGAAATCTGGATTATACTTATTTCAAAAGGAGAAAACCCCGCCCTAGAAGGAATTGCGCAGTTATTTTAAATCACCACCGAAGAGGGTTGACAGGACATTTCAGCTCCCAAAAAAGAAGCAACACATATGAAATGAAAATACAGGGATAAATTACTGAAGGATGTTGATCTATTGCTCGGTTACAAAGTTTTACATAGCAATTTTTACTATGAAATCCTCTCCCTGTATTCTACGCACACAGTCGCGACAAAGAACAATCTATTTTTTAACGAGATATCAGTCAGAGTACACGCAGAGTCAACATCATCCGCGGCTTTATTAGAATTCACCACAAAGCGACCCTGGATGCCCGGAGGGATGAACTTTTAAGTATTCCGCGAGCAAGTGCAATACGTACGCTTGCGCGTGTACTATTTCCGGTCTAGATAATTTGCGTCCCCGTGAAAATAGTTTCCCCGGGAAAACGCGGATAATTAAGAGCGGTCGCGCGCTCGTTGATCCTTCAATTCGGTTTTAATTAGACACACGGTTTCCGTCAAACCTCCATGGTCGATCACGCAAATGTTTGCGCAGATAAAATGCGATTTTGCGACAGAGAAGTTCCCGAATCGAGATTTTCATTCTACTTTCGACCTCAATATTCCATTCGACGTCTATCTTGATACTCTGAAGTCCATATCAATTTTTTTTTTTATTTTATTTAACCTATTAACTTCATCGAGAGATCCTGTCATCATTTAGGCTCGTATTAATAGTCCTTACTTAACATTTGTCCTACGTGAAATACTGAAATCTGAATTTAAAGTTAGATGAGTCTTCTTATTTGAATTATCTAACGCATACATGACATTACATTTGCAATCGCGATTCAGCTGAGAAACTCAGGTCTAACTCTAAATTAAGATCTGAGTGTATGAAGCAAATTTCATGTAACGTCTATTAATATGAACCTTAGGCTTATACTAACAGTTGTCATCTGAAATTTGTCTCAAGTGAGATACTCAGATTTTTATTCAGAATTACATATAAATTTTTCAATTAAACTATATGAAATATATGACATTCATATCTTTAATCGCATTCCATCTAGAAATTTCCAACTTTGAATAATATATGAAAAATTCAACTCTGAATTCAAATCTGAGTATCTCAACTGAGACAGGTTTCAAGCAATTATTATTAATCAGATCTCAGAGGTGTTAAAAGTAAGATTTCAGTTTCTGCATGTATCAAGCACACACAAGATCCTCCCGACTACAGTACAGATGTCAGGAAGTTCAGCTCGAAAGTGGGGCTCAAAATTCGACTTCGGGGAGAGAGTTTGTCGCGACGATGAGACGAATCTCCGCGTTCCTCGTACCTCTTCCGCCGTCTCTATTGCATTTTGCTGATTTGCTGACTGTCGCATTTTTGTCGGTCGTAAGCGCAAACTTTCACGATTAATTGTAAGCGCGCGCGCGCGCGCGCGTCCACATCCGCACCTGCACGTTTGTTCCGGAGTGCCTTTTACAACTCTCAACGATTGTGTGTTGTCTCGTGGACACGCAACCGCGCGAACTTCTTGTGATTTACGTTCACCAGGATTAATTATACACGCGAAGCGAGCTGAAGTGAACTCTATATAAATACACGTAAATCCGAGCGGTAAAACAGCCCATTGTGTCGACGATCTCATGGTAGAGCAGTAATCTATACACGAATGAAACAATATACGACGCTCACTGCGATATTCAGTGAATTCACGAGCGAGAGGCAGAGACAGAGGAGATTCATTCTTTCAGTGCCTAATCAAATTGTGCAAAAAAAAAAAAATGCGCCGCGTAATTCGAGGCGATTCTGGGCTCTCGCAAAAAACCCGCCACTCAACGCCTATCCGGCGTTGTAAAAGGAGTTAATCTCGAAATTGAAAAACGTCAGGCTCACACACGCACGCCTCCGCGCTCGAGTCGCACGTTGATTCGATTAACAACTCGCTCAGAAATAATTTCATGCCTTGTTACACACCTTCATTAATCCGGAATTTCGCGCGGACATCTCGCGATATTTCCGACAGGGCCAACGAGCAGGCCCCACCAGCTCATTGTCGCAACGCGTTGAATTCCGCGCGTGAAGAGATCCCGACTGAAAATTTATCCTATTAGGACTCTGATCCTTTCGACTCTGATCCTTTCAATATTCTATTTGACGCCTATTTTGATACTCTTTGAAGTCTATGTATCAATCTTTTTTGATTCTACTTAATCTACTAAATTCGCCGAGAGGTCGTTTTTAGAACTCACAAGTGGCATTTTGTGGGTTTCCTGCCATTTAGAGACGCTAAATAGGACTTCAGTTTCCATGTGTATTACACATACACTGATCCTACAGAATATACAGATGTTAGAAAGTTCAGTAGACTCGGGATGATCAGTTTGACTCCAATCAATTATTTAATCTGCATAGAATGATGTTATCGGAAGTGAAGAGAATACGACCCAATAATCGCTGTTCTTTGATGCGATTGCTAAACAGAATTATTGATTGAGTTATTAATTGATTCCACTTTGTGTCGATTTACATATATTTGAATATTTATGATATTATCGGGTCCTAATGATTACTAGACCTTGATCTACATATATAGTATAGAATGATACTATTATTAAAAAGGTCCTAATTGCTATGCTGCGTCACGTGACTTATCAGGATCCAATAATATCACCTTACATAAATCGGATAACTGATTAGCATCAACCTGATCACTATTAGATAAATTTCTAGTCGGGATCATCGTTCTCCCTTCGGGTTGTTCTTTACGGGATAATTTTATTTCTTTCCTCTTCAGTTTTGATCATTACCGCGATAGTCAGGCGCGCAAAAGTACAGACGGGACAAATCGTCGCGTAGGAGCTGCTTCGAAGAACTCGAAGGCAAAAAAGTGAGCAACTCTCGCGCGAGATATTAAATCAGACAGATGCGCGTGATGGAGGCGGGAAGGTGCGAATACTAATCGCACGTCGTTGACAAAACCGTCTCGCAACGAGTTCTTCAGCCGGGAATCGCGCAGTTTGCTCCCCTTCGCACCCTCGTCGGGCAATCCGTCACGTAACGTCACGTCTTCTTGCCAAAGGGCGAACGCGTTTAGGTGCAAATCGCTATCTATCGTGATTTAACGAGACGTGTATCGATAAACGGGAAACGCGATATCCGGCACAGGAACGCATCCTTATGAGAGCGTGACGCGGCGAAGAGGATGACGTATCGTCTCTCGGGCGGAGGGACAACGGATCAAGGAAGAAGAGCGTTTCGCGCGTCGAGTGTCAGCCCGAGTCAGCCGCCGTCGTCGTCGACGTCGTCATTGTCTCCGTCGGCGGGCCAATTAGACGTAAAAGTGCTCGGAGGAGAGTAAAAGTGCCGCAGCTGCCGGCGCCGTCAACGACTTGAGCGAGGGAGAGAAGTCGCTCGCGAAAAAATCGCCGAGCCCGGCGAGAAGCGGAAGAGCCCGTGAGAAAGAGT